ATATAATCGAGTATTTGTTGAACGGTGACAATACGATAAGAAAATAACATTATTCGCATCAAAGAAGAGAGAACATAGATTGAAAATCGATTTTAATCTTTAGAATAGATCATCTGTAGACAACACGACAGCGCTAGTTTTGATTTCACGGGACGTAAATCGATTAATCGAGCCGTCGCTTTGTTCTATCTCGGCTACGTTTCACTGGTTTTTTTTGTATTTTTTTTTGTACAATATCGATGTGTCTCACTTTACAACGATCGAATTGTGCAACGTAGCGGTAAATAAAGAGTAACTACGGCCAATCAATCTTTTGTAATGCATTGATATCAAACATCGTCAAGCGTTATGGCACAAATAATACTTCTCACATAATTGGAATTTAATAACAATTTTTTTGTAAAAATATAATTTATTTTATACAACTGATTTATCACGAATTATTCAGTTACAATTGATTTATTCAGTTACAATTGTAACTGAACAATTGTACAGATTTTGTTTTTTATTTTTTTTTTTTTTTTATTTTATAATTGTTTTCTTAATTTTATTTTCTTAAATAAAGCAAAATTCGAATCAAATAATTTCTAAAAGTTGTCATTAAATTTTATATAAAACTTCTTTATATTCTCTTAATACTCTGTAATCTAATTTTTTATCGCCCCTCAAAAGCTTACATAATCTGAAAGTTATAGTGTTACTTATACTAAGTTAGTATATTGTACTATATATTTTACTAATAAATTAGTATTAATAATATAATATAGTATACTATAATACTAATACTATAGTATACTAATATTACAGTAAATTATGTGCAATTCATTAGTACAATATATTACTAAAATATATAGTATAATATATTGTATAACTTAGTATAGTATATTATTATTTTATAATAATATATATTATTATATACACTTTCTTTAGTTTAGGAATATATATATATATATATATATATATATATATATTTAATATATGTATACATATATTAAAACATTGAAATTTTGGATATATGAAGTAAAAATTAAATTTGTAGCGACAAAATGAAATGAATTATAAAAAAGAAATAAATGTATTTCATGAGCATGTAAAGTTACATGACGTTATACAGATTTGTAAGAGAATTTAATTAAGAAAAATATTATTTTCCATCTTTTTAATAAAAAAAAATTACAAGAATAAAAAAAAAAAACTAACATGAATGCAGTATTCAAATATGCTATCGAAGAGACATAACTACCGAATTAAAAGGGTAAAGAAGGTGTAAAAACGAGAAGAGAGAGTAAAAGTGAAGTCTGACATGTTGGAGTATCCTCCAACAAATTTTATGTCAAAATTTATCGGTTCCTTTTCAACCGTACGTACCTATACACATACAAGTTCACATTCGACGTACACATAAATAGATACTGCATGTAAAATTTCGGCTACATATAGATACATGAAATTTTTATTGGGAAAACTCGTATCTGTCCCTTCTTTCTTCGAAGTTTTCCATATTTTTTTTTCTTTTTTTTTTGTTCCGTGAGTAATCTTATCAACAACCCCATCGAAATTTCCCTTTTCATTCCTTTTCGAAGATATTCGAGAGCCCACGAGTTTTCTGTTTAATTTCCTATGAAAACTGAGTGCGCAAGTGGATTCAGGTGTCGATGATGGTGTAACGACCATCGATAATAATATCGATTTACTTTTAATCTTCAGAAGCGTAACATCCTTCCATTTTTTCCTATTCGAATTATCACGTTACATTATCTCTTTTATCGGTGATAACGATGAGAGAAAAATAATATTAAAATAAATGACATGGATATAAGATGGAGAGTGCTATCAACTTTCAACAACGAAAAATTATGGCTGAGCAACTGTGACAACGTGACGTTGGGGTTGAGTTCTGTGTTATTCGAGTAACGTAAGAAAGAAGTATCGATCGATATCAAGTTAATTAGAATAGAATATATAGAAAATGGCATGATAATAGTTAATAATGGATTAATTAGCTCGGTTCGGTGAATATTTAACGACGAAGTAAAATGAAATGGAGAAAGATGAAAAAAATCAAGGGAAAAAATTATAACTATAATAATAATAATAATAATAATAATAATAAATATAATAACAATAATAATAATTATTATTATTATTTATAATTCACGATATCATTGAAATTTTTATTTACAAGAAAAAAAATCACTACATAAATGATAATAAATAAATCAGCTCGATATTCGATGCAATTCAATAAAATAAATTTAAAAAGACTAGAACGAAATCTAGAAATAAAAGATCGACATATAATAATAATAATAATTACTATTTTTATAACTCATGATTGGATTGAGAATCTGATTAGTCAGTAAATGGGAATGTATGCGTATTAGTATTCCTAGTATGTTTGAAACAACTTGATTTATTTCTCGTATCATAATCACGATTCTTTTCTTCGTAGCAACGTTGAAGCCACAAACGTATCGATCGTTCGTCGTTTTCCTCGAGT